GGCGTGCCAGACCTGCCTGCCCGCTCCCTGCCGCCACACCAGCTGGGTGACCTCCGTGGCGTGGCCCCCCTCCACTTCCCCCACGTCTGCGCCCTGTGTGACAAGAAGATCTTCGATCTGAAGGTGAGTGGTTTTAAGTTGCCCCTAGGCATGGTTCAGACCCTTGACCACGCTGTCTGGTGATTGATCTGGCTGCCGGCTCCCGCCCCCCCTTGCTGCCAGCAATCGACACAGAGATGGAAACAAAGAGGAGTGGAAACAAAGGGCTATAGTTTCGCTTAGGGTGTTGGACATCTGTTTCATGGCAATTACTGGGGTTTCAAGATCTGGTTTTGTTCCACATCTTGCTGTGAAAGGCGGTGAGATTACGGCATTGGCGTGAGAAACCCGAGGTCCAGGCTGGGGTTGCAACTCATCTCCTGGGCCCAAAGCACGAGGAGGAGGAGCTTGAAGCCAATCCCCTGCTTCTCAAGCTGGTATTGAAACCACAGACATGCGGTTTCATTTGCCTCTCCCTTTCTCTTTGCGTTTCTGATCCCAAAGATTTCCCCCTAACAGCCTTGTGGAAGTAGCTTGCTTAAACAAAACAATGCACTTTGATAAAATGATTTTAATAATTCCTCTGTTGGGATCTCTTCCTCCTTTTAGTAGCTCTAAGGAAAATGTAGGACTCAGGGTCCCCAGTGACTTTGGCCTGGAAGCAAGAAGCTGCTCAGCGTGTATAGTGCAGACCACAGTCCCACTTCTCTACTGATACTGCCAAGGGAACTCCAAATTCAACCTCACCCTCGAGAAGAAGCTTCCCTGTTGCTCAGACAGCCTGTGTGCTAGGTCATGTTATATAGGTCAGGTCTGGAGAAGCCTCTGAGCCCCACAGCCATACATGGGCGCTGGCTGGCGTTGTTCTGGCCTCCTGGTGAGCCCTGCTCAACAAGTCCTCATGGCCTATTCCATCACATCGCAGGACCGGCACCTAACCGCAGAGGCATCTGTTTTCACATTGATGGTAGCCTGACAAAAACATTACAACAGCATGTATATAGGAAGGAAGACAGCCAGTAAATGAAATAGTACCTGATACTTACACACCCCGCGGTTTTGAGATATCTGAATAGATTTACTCTTTCATGTTTCCCTTTTACTCTTTGAGCAGCTGCTTGCAAAAGAGTTTGCTGTGGTTACTGCAGCTACAGGACTGCTCTGAAGCAGCCCCCACCTAGGGCGTGCTGAGCATTCCTCTGTTTCATCAAACATTTTAAAAGGGCAGGGAAAATGTCATTTTGCTGAGTCTCAGTTGATCTGTTTGATGTTTAATACACTGCCTCATTTGGATCATAGAAGTGCAAATATCTAAATGTACTTTGACAAACATTTTGCGAAAGCAGTGTCCTGGCTGCCCTGTATGCTGAGCACCTTCCTTACAGACATTGCGGGAGCTGAGGGGGCTCAACGCCTTGCAGGATGAGCTCTTCAGCTAGAGTGAAGTAACAGAATTAATAGAAATGTACTGGATTTTAAAAAGTTAATACAGAGAAGCTCTCCTTTTGTAAAGTAGCTGATAATTTAACCTACAAATAACGAATCAGTAAATGCACTGGATGAAGGTGCGCTTGGCTCCAGCATCACAGTTTGATCTTCAGCATCTCAGTATTGTTTTTAGAATAAGGTGAACTGAATGGAGAAGCAATCTCTTGTAAATGTGTCTCAAGATTTTTCCTATGCTCATCATCTCTTTGTTTCAACGTAGGACTGGGATCAGCACATTAAGGGAAGTCTTCACATCCAAAAATGTATGGCTTTTTCAGATAAGTAAGTATTATTTTAGAGACACTCTTCCAACTGAGTTTTTAACAGAGCATCCCTTACATCCAGTGGCTTTACACCAAGAATTTACTGTCTAATAATTATGCTTTAATATTGCTGGCATATTATGCATGCTCCTAAAGATCTTTTCTTTCTTTTCCAGCACTGGTATCCGGTGTGTGTTAAACTCAGCAGATGGAACATTGCATTTATCACCAAATAATGCAGCAGTTTTCAATCCATCTAGTATTGAAGGTGAATGGTTGTATGTGCAATATTTGAAACCGCTTTTTTTTTAGTTGAAAGGGAATTCAGTCTCTGGGGAAAAGTGGACATTTTGAATGAAATGTGATACAAATTTCCAAGGAAGACTTTTTAGAGGTTGTGCACAAAAAGGCTAAGAGCCAATACTGTGCCTTTCAAAGTATGCATTTATTTTTCTTTCAGACAATGACCTCTTTTCACAGTACAATGAAACAGTGTATAATTTGGTGTAGACTACAAAAATAATTTTTGTGTAAATGGGGCATTGCTTACTGAGCACACTAATGCAATTTATGTGAGTCAAGATTTTAATTAAATGTGTGTAATCCATTATTTAGATTATCCACCAAATGTCGGCTCATCTTTTATCACTACGTCAGCAAGATCCTTTGGCCAGCCAGGTCCTACGTTTTCTTCTCCTCCATCAGGGGTAAGAGTGAGTACCTAAGCAAATTGATCTCTGTGCTGAGATTCTTGTATAGAAGCCACTTCTACTTACTGGAATTAAACCCATGAAGGCTTCCTTTTAGATAATAATCTGAATATTCAGTCTGTTATTTCAACTTCCCTGCATCTCTTTTATGCTTTTGATTTTAGACAAATCAGAACTTGATTGCAGTTGTTTTTTTTTTTTAATAGTGCTAAAAATTGTTTACTTGTTAGAGAAATTTGGGGAGGGGAGGCAGATGGTTTTGTGTGTCTCCCATTGACTTTTTTCCCCCATTTTCTGAATCTTTTCAACCCAGGAAGGTCAGCTTCAGCTTGGAATGAAGATTTGGATTAGTTTTTACTTACTCTGAGTATCTATCTCAGCAAGCAGTCTGCAATCTCTCCAGTTATTTATTTGTAGCAATTGTTCTCTGACTCTCCCAAGCTGGGGTCCTTCTCCCAGGTAGCAATAGTGGCAAAGATAGTGGCTGCAGCTTTGCTCAGCGTTACTCACCTCGGGGTCCCAGATCAATTCATTGTACTGGACTAGCTTTTTCTTAGTTTATTTTAGCCTACTACTTGCGTCATCTGCTGCCACTGGTAACCTCTCAGCAAGTTTGCTTTGGTGTACAGCCTTCCATGGTTTAGGTTTGTTAGCCCCCCAGCATTCACCACAGGTCCCCAGTTATATTGCTCTAATGTGCACTTGAATTCCTGGCCCAATAATCAAAAAATGCTAGGGAAAAAAGATAACATTAAAAGTGGTTCTTACACTGACAAAGCAGAAAGATTTTAAAATAATTTTTTTTTTAAAAAAAGCAAGAAAAAAAAGGCAAACAAAGGCAAATCATTTGCATAATGGAAGTACAAAAGTTGTTACAGCTAAAATGAAGCTCAACATGGATCAGAAAGCTACGATTAAAGCTGGAGGCATCAAGGACTCATGTCAGGGCATTCATGGAATAGCAACAGTAATCCAGGGGTTCAAGTTTTCAACTTGTTAGCTTTTGTGCATGTATCCTGATGTGCCCTCAAACACTCTGGAATGGGAGGCTGAGTTGTGTCCCTGTGCCACTCCAGTTCACATTAGGCATTGCTTACAGAAACATCACCCAGATTTGTTTAATGCAACCAATTTTCTGCTGTGTGGTTTTGCTGTGACAGAGGTTATTTGAAGGAGTTTTAGCTTCTGCCTGTCACAGACACTGTGTGCAGGGGAGCAAAGAGCAGCGCTGCTCATGATGGCTGCCTCCAAGGTCAGAGGTGGAGTAGCAGCGGGTGCAGAGGAATGTTCCTTTTCATCATGTCTGTCAACCTCACAACAAATGAAATTACTGCTAATGCCAGTATCAATTCTCCTTAGAGCCTGTCACTATTTATCATCAAAGCTGTCTGCAGAAGACTTGAAGTACTATGAGAGATAAAAGAAACAATATCTTTGATTTTCCTGGACACTGTGAATCCTATTTTTCTTCAGAAGCTCATTGGGTGGAGAGGGAGCTATATTAGAGGTGTTAAAATTGAGTTTGCCAGCTGTCACTCACCCCACAACCCAGGTGCCTTATAATTTATTACACCTTTGCACGGTAGTATTCACTTTCAGCTAAGCTGCTGCCATTTAACTGAGCAGTGGAAGATTATACTTGACCCTGCATGTAATCATAAACAAAGTGTTCAGATTTCTGGAAGAGCTTGCTCTGTGCTGTCCATCTGCAAATAACTCTATCCCTCTTCAAAAGGCCAATGCAGTGCTACAAGTCTTCACTCAGGCATGGAGAGCCATTAGCACTGGAGGGATGGGACTGTCAGTTTCTTATTATCTTTAAAAGAGGTTCATGTGAAGCTCAAGAAAGGGATAAAGAATCCGAAAAAAAAATTAATTTGGGAAAAAAGCTATTAAAAATAAACAAATTGGATCGGTGAAATAATATGGCAAATAGTATGAGGTGCATTTCACTGCTATGCTTGAAATTATTTTTGTAGTAGTTGTCCAGCTGTATTGATAAAGCCTCAGAGACATCGATTGCAAAGAAAGCTAACTTAGCATGTTACTGAAAATTACATTCAACACTTGACACACAACAGCTCCTCTAACTTCCTGACTGTGGATATGGAAGGTGTATATTCCTTTCCTGGCTGTGATTTACAGCTCTATTTAATGAATGGATCCAGTTTAACTTCAATCAGCTGACAAGATTATTGCTTGGTACAGCCCATTGACTTCTGGTATGAGTATGTGACCACTTCTTAATCATGAATTACAGCAGATTTATGGCACAGCATTTTAATTTAAGCCATTGCCAATTGTGCAGGGGGTGGTAACATCTTACAGTCGTTTGATTTAATGTACTGCTGAGCACGTGTCTGAACACGGGCTCTGGAGCCTACGTAGGGAACAGCTAAGTCTTTCTAGTCCCAGAGACTCTTAATATACCAGCTCTAACAGATCCAACAAAACAAACAGGAGGTGCCAGGTGACCTGGGGTGTTCCTACACTGGGGTTGCACTTGCTGTCAGGAAAGTTTCCTTTTCCTCTGCTAGCTGTAGTTGTATTCTTCTGTTGTGCACTACATGCTGCCTTGCCAGATGCACGCAGCCAGCACTTCCTTTTCTATTGAGTTGCTTCATGTTTTTCAGGATCAGGTCTTTGTTATTTTTCTGCAAGAGAAAGTATCTTGCTTCTGGACTTTGGCACTTCTTTGACTTACCTTATGCACCTGGGTAGGCTCTGTAAGATGCAAGCTAAATAGCAGACTACTGTATAATACAGGGTCTTGCTGCAGCAAAAATACACAAAAGGTTAAGTGGCAAAGCCTGGAGAGAAAGTAATGGGATGAAGGTGTAAATAAGATAACATTAGCTCTGTAACTTGTGAACTTGCTGACATGCCAAACATTTGTGATGGCTCTGGTGAACTTGATCCCACAAGATTACGTGATTTGCATCTTCCCTTGAATGGCACAATTTTAACTGAATGTAGAGTTACTTCTTCAGTAAAATCCTAACAGCAGAGATGATAAACAGGGAAGTAGTCTGGGTAGACTTAATCCTAAGGGAGCAATGTTTTGCATGTTATCAGCTGGGGTAAAGTATGCTCTTCTGTGAGTATACCCTGATGCCTCTTTGCACAAGGAGTATAGAGCCTGCTTTCCTTGTCAGGGAGAAGGGCAGTTCTTTGGGAACTGCCCCAGCACTCCAAAACAGACCTCCACCCTTGGGGAAGCGATTACCACACTGGTGGCCATGTGCCTGTGCCAGCCCAATTTGGGAGCTCTGCCTCTCTGCCTGTCCAGTGGTCACTATGTCCGCAGGGGATAAGTCCCTCCTACCATGTGTTGTTGCAATGAGAGAGGAAAGTAGTAAGTTTTCCAACCTGAGGTACAGCTGAGTGTCCTCTGACGAGTTAAGTGGGGTCACTTTTACTGCCGACCCAGTCTGTTCCACCAGGGCAGAAGGAGCCTCTGCTATCCTGAACACCTCCGTGGTCACCTAAGCTGGTGTCTAACATCCATAAATTCAGCAGGGACTGCAGTGAGCATCTATTTCAAATTCCAGGCACCACCAGCCCCACATAAATGGGCATTCTTTGAACACTTGAAAGTACTAATTTTTTGTGCATTGCTTGTAAATTATCTGCTAAGGGCCTTTTAAGGGCTTTAGTAGTGTACAGTGCCCTCATGTGTGGGCAAGGCACAGAGTCCCAGTGGGCAGACAGATGTAGATGGGATAAGGAAGGCTATCTGACTTGGCAGAGGAGCCATAGGGGTTATGGTGGCATACCAGATGGGTACTGGCCCCACAGGGAGCTGATCAGGAGGGGATGAGACCTCCCCGTGACAGGGGCACCCTATGTCTGCAAACACCGAGGGGCCTCCAGACTCTCACTGGTGCTGAGTACAGCACAGTGACCAGTGCCCCTGGCAGCCCAGCCCTCTGCTGTGACATGCCAGGGAGCTGAAGCCCTGGAGTCCATAAGGTTTGAGGTGGCAAGTTAGCTTTTGCAGCAATATTCTTAATCCTGTTTGAATAAGAGCATCCCTTCTAGAAATCCTCTCTGGATTTTGTAATGTCCAGGGGTGGAGAGTCCATTGCAAGCTGCACTGCAGTTAAATATTTCCCTTCCTATTTGTGTTTCTAAACCAGGATATTAAAATACAAGGTTTTAAAGAAGAATATTTGTCCTTAATAACAGGTGTGCAGAACAGAACGCTTCATTTTTTGCAGAAATGTAAGGTCTTATCTAGTGGATGGAATATCTAAGATAAAAACATTGTATTGAGTTGTTTTTTTTCCCCAGTTTCCTCAGAGGAAATCTACACTGGGTCGAGTTGTTCACATCTGCAACCTTCCCGAGGGAAGCTGCACAGAGAATGATGTCATTAACCTGGGCCTCCCATTTGGGAAGGTCACCAACTATATCCTCATGAAATCCACTAATCAGGTACTGTGCATTTGGGGTCACTGGTATTGGTGTCTGTTGGCATAAAGACATATTGATATGAAAACAGAGTCTTTGGGGAAAATATAGGGGTTTTTTGTAATAGAAACTTAAATATATGAAGCCTGCTCTTAAAGTAAAAAAAAAATAAGGTGTTTGCAGAATGAGGTGGTATAAACATGACCACTGCCTTATAGTTCTTGTTAAAAAACCCCAGAAATTTCATTGAAGAAGTGTTGTAAAACTGTACATTTTAAAAATAATTAATAATCAATAATATTAATAATTTTTTTTTAAAGTGAATAAACTTGTCCTTCTCTCAGCCATTAGTTAGGGTTACTTTCAGACTTCTCCTGTTCTGTTTGGGAGATTTTTATTGCTTTCGTACCCAAAGTTGCACTGGGCATTGAAGAGCGACTCGCACTCTAGCCTGGTTCAGCTGTCCTAGACTGTTTGCTGGGCTGTTGTTACAGCAGAGGCAGGTCCCACAGTGGTGTAATTGCAGTCACAGGCTGGTGGCAGAGCCCCCATGATCTGGTGCACATGTGCTAAAGGAGGCTGGGCCTTTACAGGGAGCACTGACACCCCACTTGCTCCCTTTTAATCTGCACCAGATTGTAGTAGAGCTCCTTCTTCAAGGTACCTTCAGTCTACCTTAAGTAGCTTGTCTATAAGTGGTGGTAGGCTGGGAAGACTAGAAAATCTTCTGTCACATACCTGCAGCAGACAGGACAGGTGGATGTAGAATCCATGCCAGAGGGCAAGTTTGAGATTGTTATGTTTCAAAATGAAGTCATTACACAGCTGTGAGTATGTTCCTTGACTGGTTAAACTGCAGTCACATCGAATGCAAATTTTGTGTAAATAAAAGTGCTAGTTAACATCACTCAGGTTTTTTAAACTCTTTTTTTGGCTTTGTTTTGGCTGCTTATGCTCTGATATTCTGCTTTTATCTGGATCCCTTGCAATTCTGCAAGAAACAGCTGACAATCTTGGGAGCAGTGAATGCTGCAGTGTTGCAGTTCTGCATCCTGTCAGCAGCCAACCATGGTGTAGAAGCACCAGTGAGGAAACAGGGGAAAGGTGATGTTTTCATATATTGAGAAAGATTGGATCCCAGTCATTTAGTTTTTAACTGAACTGGCTTCCAAAGTTGCATATCAGCTTTAACAGCTGGGTTGAAACCGTTATTTGCAGTTAAAAGGAGACTGAGCAATGGACTTAGTGTTGCTATTTCAGCTCCAGGGCTGGAAAGCTACCTGGTTCTGTACTGTCAAGACATTTTGCATGAGAAGAATCCAAACAAAAATTATTGTGCTGCCTTTTCTGTCTTATACTTTGTATTTTTAATAATGTAGTAGATTTTTAAAGCTCTCCCCATTTGTGCTAGGCCTTTCTGGAAATGGCTTACAGTGAAGCAGCACAAGCCATGGTGCAGTACTACAAAGAAAAACCTGCTATGATAAATGATGACAAGTTACTTATTAGGATGTCTAAAAGATACAAGGAATTGCAGCTGAAGGTAAGGTAGTCATTCCTGATCAGATTTCCTGAGTTTCCATGGCACGTCCTGGAGAATACGTCTAAAAATCTTTGCTGATTACTGATCTCTAATTAATGCTTTAATATTATGGAAAAAGAAATAAAGAAAGATAAATTAATAAATGTGCGTTAAAGATCTTTTATACTTAGCTGCTTGCTCTTGTTCTAAATTTTAACTCTTGTAAGAGATCCCATTTTCTCTGGTCCTCTCATACCATTGTTTCAAAAATCCCTTCTGAGCTTCCTTCTGGGCAGGCTCCCCACAGTGCTTGGTCTAACCAAGGTCTGAAACACAGCCATGTGTAAGATACAACATATCAGCAAAAACAAGTCAGGCAGTAAGCCTGAAGCAAAGCTTTTCACTACTTGCATGCTTGAGCCATAGTACAATCTCTATACCAAGCAGTGGTGGCAGGGCTAAACATCACACTGATTTCTTTTTCTTTCTTTCTTGTGAATGACCTCAATTAAAAAGGATACTTTTTTTAATTATTATTTTTTACATAGAGTCAGAACAGAGCAATAGTCTTGGGGTTTTCTGTAGAGCGTGTGACATTTCTGGTGTGAACACATGAGTGTTACCCCAAAATCACTGCTCTTGTGAGCATATTTATGGAAGCTTATATACTACCATGTGTAATGCTAAGAGAGTATTTTTTTTTATGGAGACTTGGACTGGAACTGGCAATGCAGAGCTGAGAAGGTTCATATTGTATTATCTAACACAGCACAAAGTTATTTTATAAAATAACTCTGTAGTGTTCCAAGTTAAGAGGTTCAGGGGACTTTCATGAGCCTTGAGGAAAAACAAGTAACTCAGTTTGGTTTGACCTTTGGAAAAGTCTCTTTCTCTCTTGTACATGTATAATAGTGTAAGAAGACTTAAAGGAGTTGCCAAAAGTCCGTAAACCCGGGCAATCTTTCTTAGTGTGGTGAGGTGAAGGATTTCAGATGTAAGGTGGCAGAGACTGTGCATCTTAACGTAGAGGCGGAACAGGAATTACCCAGGAGGGTGTGGGAGTTTGCCTAGATTTCAGGAAGATTTTCAGCCTTTCCAATGGCAGTTTTTCAGGTCATGGAATTATTTTTCTCTGCCTGAGCAGAAGCCCTTTCTCTTTGTTAAAAACAAACAAACAAACAGAAGTGCAACACGGAAGGGAGGATATGCATGAGCTATTTACCACTACAAACTGCTCTGAGTTCCTGCATGATTATGTTGCTCAGCTGTGCATGCTCCAAGTGTTTGACGAATTGCGAGCACTCCAGCCTGGAATAGTGCATCTTTTGTAAATGATCTTGAATCTCAAGTAATCAGCACTTCCTGTATGCATCTTTCTTACACTTAGCTTTTCTGAAGCCCTCATGTCTAAACATAGTCTTTTAGAGCTATACTCCAGAATGAGCTAAACTCTGAGATGAAGAGAAGACAGTTCATTCCTAGAGGGCCAGAGATAGGCTGCTATACATATTTAATTCAGATATTAGAAAAATTATCTAGTTTGTTTCCTCTTAGATCCAATTCCTAGAAAATACTCTGTAGTGGATGTGTATCAGGGAAGGACAAGCTAGTTTTCGAAGCCTGTTACAGCAGCAGAGTGTGAGGAGACAGTGCTGCAATGTAGTGGAGCAAATTTTTCATTTGTATCCTTCTACTGCTTTGATTGTGTCATTGCGATACCAGCTGCAGAAAAGACTGTAACCACAACACTGAAAACAAATATTTCTCAGTAGTAGTGTAATTAAATGATGCATGGATGCTGTTTCTTGAAGGACAAATCACCTGTATTAGCTTGGAGAGTAGTGCAGCATGCTAAACAGTGTCTTTGTCTTATTTAGAAACCAGGTAAGAACGTGGCTGCTATCATCCAGGACATCCACTCACAGAGGGAGAGGGACCTGCTGCGTGAAGTGGACAGGTAAAGTTTCTCCATAGTTTGGAACGGGGACCTGGATAAGTCTGTGAACCTGCAGGTAGAAAAAGCATTATCTGTATGCTTCCCTCTCTTATCTCATTTGCTTTCCTAATTTGGATCTCACTTCAACTCACTGCAAAAAATATAAGTGAGTATAATAGTAGGTATAGGGCCTATATAATGAGATCAGATTGAAACTGTGCATGTTATGAAAATAAATGTACTCTTTCCTATTGATGATGATCACTCAGAAAATAGGCCTGGTACGTGAAGAACACACAAATGAAGGTGTTCCACTCTCCTCCCCCTAGAGTGAAAAGCCTAAAGGCTGGGGGTGCTGTGAAACCTAGTGGGAAGGAGCCGGTCGAGATTAAAATGTCATTGGGTATGTTTCTGATCTGTCTGACTTCTGGGCCTTCCATCAAAAATGGAGAGGAATCTCAGTCCTAAAACACCTCTTTTAAACAGGTGACCTTTGTCACTTTTGTCTCAGAGATGCCCTAGACAAGTAAGTACTAAGGGTACAGACATTAGGGTCATTGTAAAGGGATTAACATATAAGCTTTTAATGCTAAACCCCTATGAGACACTTTTAAGAATTAACAAATATATTCTTGATGGATCTGTGGGGTTTAGTTAAGCTCTGTGGATATGCTGCTGCCTTTTCTCCTGTTCACTGCGTTTGCAGCTGTGCAGTGCCTGTCTGTGAAAGACCTGGGGTCTCAAGTTCACAGCCACCAGGGCAGTCCCCACGTGTTTCCAGTGTACAAGAACTTGGTAGACCACAGTAGATCAGCCAGTTACAGCTGCCTTTTCCCTTCGCAGCAGGTATGGCACGGAGAGGCCCCGCTCTCGCAGCCCCATAAGCCGCTCCCTGTCGCCCCGATCCCACACGCCCAGCTTTACTTCCTGCAGTTCACCCCACAGTCCGATGGGGACCAGCAGGACCGACTGGGGAAATGGGAGAGAGTCATGGGATCAGTCCCCGTATTCTCGACGGGAAGAGGAAAGAGACAGCAGAGAATGGCGAGAGAATGGGGATGAGAAGAGGGACAGGACTGACACGTGGGTACATGAGAGGAAACATTATTCCCGACAGCTGGACAAGTTTGATTTGGATGAACGGATTGAAGGAGGCAGAGGGCACAGAGAAAAATATTTAAGGAGTGGTTCCCCTGGCTCCCTTCACCCTTTATCTGGCTACAAGAGCAGGGAAGATGACTATTACCGAAAAACCTCTAAGTCAAAACCTGACAAGTTTCAGAGGCAGCTGCAGGATTTACCTGGGAGATCTAAGAGAAAGGAAGAGGCAAAGTTAAGGGAACGCAGGCATTCTTACAGCGAGGACGCTGCCAGGGAGGAGGCAGCTGAACAGAAGCACAGCAAAGCATCTGAGGGCTCCAGGCAAAAACAAAGTGATAAGAATAAAGTGAAGAAAGCTGAAAAAGACCAAGAGGAAGATGCTGCTGCTGAAGGCAGTGATGTGAAGGAAACCAAACCTCCCAACAATGAGGTAAACAGAGATCTCAGTTTGTGTGTAAGAAGAAGGTAAATGCTGAAGTAATGTATTTTATGAAATATTTTAGATCAGTTGTTGCGGATGTGGTGCTGGTGACGTGCAATGTTTTGCCATGATAAAATCAGGGGATATAGTCTTGGAAGAGATCTTGGGAGGTCATCTTCTCCACGTCTTTTCCCAGATCGTGCAGATCTATTATAGCTTTGCAGTGTTGGGAGCATGGACATTGTGCATCAAGCACAGAACCTCTGGGTAACCAGTGAGATGAAGGGGACAGATTACTCCCAACAAAACCTAGATAATCTGCTGTTTGCATGCAGGTTGTGTGTGCAGGGACAATTGCCCTACTGCTCTCTAAGTCTGTGCAGAATACCCCATAGCTGCTCTCTCTGCATCCATCACCTGCTTCCACTGCCTGTGATGTGGATTGGGCCAACTGGGAATTAAGTAGTATTTTACCACTTAATTATGAGCCTTGAGAGATGCACAATATTTGTAGGACAATACAGGGAACTGGTTGTTATACTGCTAAAATAGGGAATGAACTTTTAATGAGGAACATTTTCTTTTTGGTCAACTCAGCAGAGCAGTTGGTTTCTATTAATCATATGTCCCTACCCTCAGCTGTGGCAGGGATAATTCACACCACTCCCTTCAATGTGCTGGCAGGAGTCTCTTCCCATGGCAGAACCACTGTAATTTTACAGGCTCACCTGAAAAATTACAGGATCTCTGGAGAAATACTCCCAGTTGGTAAAGTGGCAGCATTTTTGGGTTTGATTCTCCACTGGGAAAAAGTGGAGAGGGAACAGATCAAGATGCCTCATTCGCTCAGTCCCAGTACAGCCCACGCTCATATCCCCACCCTATGGGGATCTTGTTACTGGCTCTTGGCCACCTCACCTCCCCCAGTCCCCCCTGGTGAGACACAGCCGCCGTCCACCCCTGGGGATGCTGGCACAGGAGGCTGCAGAGCTGCTTTGCTGACCAGGGGTCCTTCTCTAGTTTGTGACTTTGGGCTGCCAGAGCCATCTTTGGTTGTTTTTAGTTGACCTTGCATTCGTTCTGGTCATGTGCAGGCGAAGTTGGTGGAAATCTCTGGATCTTGTACCTCAGCTAGCCTCTGTAACAGGCAGCAGCACTACCTCATGCCATAGATATGGGTGTCTGTACCACCTTTTGTCATCTTTCTCCTTCAGCTGGTGATGGATGGTTCCTTGGGAGGAGATGTTAGAGAGAAATGTCAGACAGCATCCTAAATCACCAGGGTTGCACACTCCTCTGCATGTTTTTCAAGTTATTTTCAAGTGACTTTTTAACAAAGGCAGATCTCTCCAGTGACTACTGCTAACAATTTATTTTAAAAGAAAGAAATAGGTTTGAATGTCTTGAACTCACACTTTTGCTTTGCCCCTCTTTTACCAATGCCAAGTAGTACTGTGGTTTTGTCCTTTTTTTTGTGCAAGCAGTTGCATTCTTGACTGATCCTATCTTGACTGATCATCAATTAATGAAACAATTAAAGTCTTTTGCAGAGTTTTAACGCTGCTGCTCTCCTTACCATGTCTGAGCCAACATAACAGATGTGGGTAGAGAACAGAGGAGTGGAGGCTGGAAATTTTTAACAAATTCACATTCTCCCCCAGCTGTCTTCTAGCCAATTCTATGATGTAATTTACATCTCTCTAATTTTGTTTTAATTTCTTTTTCTTAATTCTTATTTGTGCAGCTTTGCTAATGAAATTCAGTTCTTGGGTCTTTTCCACAGCCCAGTTGACTTGCATAATCTTTAGAAATAAAGAATGTGACCTTGTAGTGACTTTGCTTCCCTAAACCCAGAATAGAAACATAATAGAGCACGACTGTGTGTTGCCATACATGTATATGTTGTATTTATTTTAGCTTGGAAAAGAGGAGCAAGTTCCAGAGAAGAGTTCGCCTTCAGCTGATAAACAAGGAAAAGAATCTGGAGAGATTCTGGAAAACACAAGAAAAGAGAAGGTTGGTGACACATTGTTGGTGCAACTTCCACGACAAAATGAGTGAAACCCCAGGTTTGGTAGCCTGTTCTCCCAACTGAAATATTAAACCCTCACGGAAAGGCCCGTAAGGGGGTTATAGAAGGGGGTTGTCTAAATTAATTTGTCTTATCTTGACCTCTGCTTTAAGGGATAGCTTTTCCTGAAGTCTCCAGAACACTTTTTTTAGCTGCTCTTTGCCCATGTGTATTACTTCACATGCGTAGCCCTTGGCACTGACAACTGTAAGTAACGTATGCCTAAGTGAACTGTGTGACTCTGTAAACCGTGCCCAAAAATAGGAGATGTGGGCTGTTGGTGGAGAAGGAGGGGAGTAACAATGAAAACTTTTCAGAGCATTAGCCTTAGATGGACCATGGATAGTAGCCTCTTCTGATCGTTTCTGGTTTTAATTAAATAATGTCTTTACAGCACCCCTACTGCAGCATCGCAGTCGGGGACAGCAATGTCCTTGGAATTCCTCCAGCTTCATATCTGTAGGGTCATGGGTTGATGGTCAGATATGGAAGCTATTGATATCTGTTGCTGTAGAAAACTGATCTCCTGGCAAGAACAGTGTCAACTCCCAGAGTTTTCATGCTGTTTTAAGATTCTAGGAGGGGAAGTGTGGGAATGGCCAAAGAGGAGGAGAATACAGATTATTAATAGATTATGTGTACACCATGAGTCTAGGAGTTGAAATCTAAGCTGCAAGTGTGTTTTAAAAGTCACATATACCTTAAAATTCTAATACTTCTAAAGTCCAGTATTAGTGCCTGAGTCCTGTAAGTCAGTAACTGCATGTATGAGGTATTTTAGATTATGTAACTTGGAGTATATCTGTAAAACTGATTTTTCTTAAGGTCTAAGTCAATCTCTACCAACATAGTCCCTGGCAGAGGGCTCTTGCTGGTGGAAGGAAGTGACTACAGAAGGTAGACACTTTTTCTCAGTCACTGTAGGAATTTAAAGGAGCTAGTCCAGCAAAGTGAAAGCCACAGTGGCTAGATGGAGGTTCAGTATATTCTCATTGTTCTGACTATTTCTCACCATCCTGGGATGGAGGTGGAGAAAGGGGAGAGGTTCATTTCCTTGGGGATCACGTAGTAAAGTCAGTCACATAATGAAGTGTAACAGGTTGTGCCTTGTTCCACTGCTTAGAGAAAAGTAACAAACAGGAGACTGGAGAGACTATAATCCCCAAGGCAGTTACAGAATCTCCACAAAATGAAGGTTGTGTGATATTTAAAAAGAGATTACTTGTTCTTGTGCATAAGTTTTAAAATCACAACACCAAGGCATATTGGTTTTTGAAACTAAAATACAAGAGAGGTTAGGCATGGCCAGATCAAAGTTCTTCCTGGTTACTAATGTTCAAAGCCCATTTTTTAACTGTGGTGATCTATAATCACTGATCTCTCTGATGTTTTACATCTTTGTGACAGGACCGAGACTGGGAGAGTGGAAGTGAGGTAGAAGGTGAGACCTGGTATCCTGCTAACATGGAGGAATTAGTGACAGTAGATGAAGTGGGAGAAGATGATTTAATTATGGAGCCGGATATAACTGAGCTTGAAGAAATAGTACCAGTTGATCAAAAAAATAAAACCGCTTCAGAAATGTGTCCCTGTATGTCAACCGTGTTAGAACTGAAAAACGATCACAGCCACTTAACCAGGAGTGAAGACAAATTTACCCATAAAGCTTTAGAGACAAACTTCAGATCAGCAAAGGGCAGTGTAGCTTCTAGCGGCTGTCAGGATGATGAGGAGGATGATGATAACGATGATGCTGTAACTGAAGCATCAAGCCTAAATCTGGACCCTGAGCAGAAGCCAGAGGAATTGCAAGAAGACCAATCTGCTAAGGAGTCTGATCCCCAGCAGAAGGAAGGAAAAATTGATAAGAGCTCTGACACTCGCTTAGAGCCCGAAGATCACCATATACCTTCTGTTCATCTGAAAGAAGAGACTCTCCAGCTCCCTGATACATTTATAGACGATTACAAACAGATGGGATCACAAGGAGCTGAGAGCAGAGGAGTTATGGAAATGCTTGTTAAAAACGCTAGCGAAGAAACAAGACACGGAAGCCAAGAGTGTCCAGAGGCCAAGGGTAACTACTGTTTTTTTTTCATTTCAGCCCACAGAGAGCCTTGCATGTTTTCTCTGACAGTAGACTGAAATTTATTGCTAACAAGAATAAATGTTGCTAATAGTATCAAGACTTGTCCTTGGAGCAGCTCAGTAAAAGAACCCCGGTGCCTTTTGCCAAGCTAAACCATTAGAGGCTCTTAGCTGAATAGTGTAAAGGAAATATGATAAGCAGCTTGCAAGCTTTCTGAAAGGCATAAGCTGCTATAATTGTCATGTCAAGGTTCACATGAGTTTAGATGAACTCTTTCAGTGCCCTGCTAAATTTATTTTGAATTGTCAATGGAAGGAGTGACAGTCTCTGAAGGTCAACAGAAAAGTATCTGTAATGTCTGGCTGGCTCCTGGACAAGGTGGGTATTCTTACACACTGTACTGAAGTGTTAGTAACATGGAAATCATCCGTAGGTTGTGACTTCTCAGTCCCTGTTCACACAAACATGTACCTTTTGTCAGGACTTGCCTTATCACCTCCTGTTATCTACCACATGCTGCCTTTAGTATAGCTGATAGGACATGCTGGGAGATAATGCCAATAAATGTAATCATAGCTGCCTGTTAATATTTTAGCTGTCAGGAAAAAAAAAGATCTTAAGTGTCTGAAAGTGAGTTCAGTTCCTTGCCACACTTTCAAATGGAACTTGAGTGAATGGGCTGTGTATAATGAGGGGAAGTGGAAAACAACATACATGTTGGCCAGGATTGCTCTTTTTTGTTGCTGCTGGAGTCTGTGTGAAGGAGAAGGGTTTGTGAACAGAAGTTGCTGGAAGATTTTTGAGGGTGCAGTTTTCCACAAGAAAATTATGGAACATTTAATATGAACATCTGATTTTGAGCTAACTTCTTCCTCCAGGACAGATTTGAAACTCACTCAGTTTTCAATACTTACCTGTTTGACCTGAAGACACCTTGCCAGGCTTTGCATATTTGGAGATAACACTGCCCTGCAAATTCCCTGGGACTGGGAATGGCAAGGTTGGCTCCCCTGTGCTGCCCACTTCACGGGCAGACAGCTGACGAAAGAGTTGGGTATCCCAAGAGCAGAGTTACTTCAGTGTTTTCAGCATCTCAGATTCCAGCTTGCCAGCAGGGAGCCTGGAAGCTCCAGGGGAGCTTGTGCTTCCCAGGTTTCTGCCACGGAGTTGGAATAACTTAAATGGGACTTAGGTTGCCACAAAGGCCCTGGATGTCTTAAGAAGAACTAACTAAAGCTTGAGGGTTTTACAGGATCTCTGCTGCAGATTTGGAAACCTGGGGTGGGCTTAAAGATAACTTGAAAGCCAACTAGTCAGGATTTGATATTATTTTCTTTTTAATTGTGTAATAGACATATTTAAAACAATGAAGAAAAATGCATTTTCATAGAAACTGCAGATCTTGGAACTAAAGACTTGAAAATTGAAAGACAGGAAGGGTTTGGTTTGGGAAAAAATATATTTGTTTTATGAGAAAATATATCCCTTAGAATCATTCTATGATTCTATATCCCTTACCTAGGTGAAATTTGCAATGCAATAGAAATTTCAGCAGGGTAAGGGAACTAGTTCTTTGATGTAAGAACTGAAGAATAGGAGCCAGACCAGATTATCTCTAATTCTGTTGCTCTCTGATAACAAATTTATCTTTTTATCTTTTTTTTTTTAAATAAAAGCAATTCACATGTTGAGAAGGGACAGCACCTGTTCTTTTGACTGGCTTTATCTGCCTCAGCAAATCAACCCACTCTTTTCCACACCTTGAATCTCCTGCCTGTGTCCATTAACATCAGTCAGCAGGGACCAATCATCCCATCCCTACTGGCCAGGAACCAAAATCTTCAAGTGGCCAAGAGCCACAAAGCAGAAACTGTCCCTTGGAGAGCTGAGGATGGGAGAAGAGTGGTTCCAGGGAGAGGATGACAATGGTGCTGCAGGGGTCCTACCAGAGGAAGGTTTGCTCTGCCCATGCAGCTCCTTAGGCAGTTTGGGGATTTGCTCTCAGCAGGTCCTGCTTTCTCTGCCCCCTCCTTTCTCAGCAGCCCCCGTGTTAGCCCAGATCCATCACTGGTCATGCAACACCATACGTGGTTATGGAGCTGCAGTCAGACCATGCTTGTGGCAGAGGCACATATAATCACAGAATCACAGAATGTCAGGGATTGGAAGGGACCTCAAAAGATCATCCAGTCCAATCCCCCTGCCAGAGCAGGAACCTAAATGAGATCACATAGAAAGGCGTCCAGGCGGGTCTTGAATGTCTCCAGAGAAGGAGACTCCACAACCTCCCTGGGCAGCCTGTTCCAGAGCTCCGTCACCCTTATAGACCTATTCAGAGATTAAAATATGAAAAGAATAAACATAATGAAAGTGAAATTAGAAATAGAAAAATGGTCTGCTGGGAGAAATAGGAGTGACTGCACAGTGTAGTGTACCTGTTGGAGTTGCATTTTTTGCAGATTTTACTTCGTTGATAGATCCACCCAGAAAGTGTTCCCGAGAAGTTTACAAACATCTCTTTAAACTAATGAACTGTTTTCATTCAATGCATTTATTCATTTGTTAAGCAAATTCTAGGTACCTGGAAATGAGATCTCTGGAATACCCGGAGGTAGATTCTAAAAGAAGACCCTCTCCTCCAGGCTGGGAGCAAGAGGACGTCTTCACCGAACTCAGCATTCCCCTGGGTACGTTCGGACGCCCAAGCTGCTCTCGGCCTGCGATGCCGCCCACTGCAATACCTAGAGCTTACAACAAGATGTCACTTTAAGGCTACTTGCTATATTTATTTTTCAGAACAGATGTGAAGGAACAGGGTATGCGACAGAGGGGTAGCTGTTGAAAGAAACGGGCTTCTGATTATAGATCATTGCTAATTTCACGCCAGATGAATGGCAAAAGATAGCTGTTAATGTCGCTGATGGGATAAAATCAGTTCCCTTGGCCTATATATGAAATATATATGAAAAATACTTAGTAATTTAAAAGTCTCTGTCATAAAAGTATTGACTATACTTTCAGTATAAGCAAAGTATTGGTTTTACTGTGTAAACACTGATCATGAGTAAAACACCTTGAAGAAGTACATCCTAAGGAGCAATCTGTATAACTGAAGCATTAATTTAATGCTAAGATGACTATTACTGTTCTAGCCATTGGGGTTATCCAGTGCAGTTTCCAGTCAATATTATGCACAAGAAGGTACATTTTTAAATATATATGATATTTAAGAGAAAAGTGGAAAATGTATTTGCAATGCACAGAATTTTAAACTGCAGCTCAGTATTGCAAAATTAGGGAAATCAGAGCAGTAAATCCAGGATTCAGTCTTCTATCTATGTCATTTAACTGAACAGCACTTTCTTTTTCTTTGAAAACAAGTTTATTGTGGAGGGGAAGGGTTTCAACTGACATTTGAATGTAATTCAGAATTTCTCAATAGGTGTGGAATTTGTGGTGCCTAGAACTGGGTTTTACTGCAAGCTCTGTGGACTCTTCTACACAAATGAAGAAACAGCAAAGACAAGTCACTGCAGAAGTACTGTTCACTACAAAAATCTTCAGGTAAAAACACACTTGAAACTAGCTTAACAACTAGCTTATGGGGTTGACTGGGCATTAAGGTAGATGATGCTACAAAAAATGAGTTTTTATGCTGTGGACAGAATTCAGAAAAAAATTTAGCAATTTAGATAAGCAAAACATTTCAGTAGTTCCAAATGTTATCACACTGATTGCTCACTCCCAGTTGCTTGAAATCAACGTCTGGATCATAAATAAAATGGGACCAGGTGGTAATACTGTTTTCTCCTCTATATTTGGTCCTTGTCACTAGCACAGCCTGCAACTCAGATCTTTAATTCTCTGTTCTTGAGGGTCCCAGGTATTTGTACCACTGGGAGTGAGCCCAGCAGCAACGTTTCTTATTTCTTAATTTAATGAGCATTAAACATGCCACTTGTTTAATAACGTTGCCAGACTTATCTTTGCGTTAGCGTGTATTCCTGCAGCGTGTCTCAGCACGCAGCACTTGGTGACACACGGGCTCTCCGAGGCATTTCCTGTGACCCGCTG